AGGTTCGCGAGTGCTGCGGCCATGGGAATACATGTAATAAGGCTCGCGAGTGCTGCAGCCATGGGAATACATGTAATAACGCCTGCTGTTTGTTCAGTAACAGTAAAATGAGCTTAAAATGCACCAATGGAGATAGGTGGACATGGGTAGGACATGGGAGGATTTGGTACCAATGGGACGGAACGGTCGGCCGAGGTGAGCGATGGCCGATCCGACGAGCAAGGGACGGTTAAGATAACCCTGGCTCTTCTGCGAGAGACCGAGGCCACGGATCCGTATCGGCCGAGTCGGACATAGACTGGTGTGACACAGGTGAGTCGAGTGAGTCGAGACTTTGCAAGGAAGTGGTGTATGGGTGCAATGGGGATATCTAGGCTGCTTGACTCCTATAGCGAAATGGGGTTCTGCGAGGCTAGCCTGAGCTTGAGCACCACATCAGGCTGAAATTCAAGGTTAGTGGTCCTCTTCTGAGTTTTCAAGGTAGTCTTAACAGTTTTTTTTAGAAATGTCAACAGAGGATCGCGATATGGTAGAGAATATGATCGCAGACTATGGCGTTCCGAAGATGCTCCTACACACAGCACCCCCTGGGGAGGGCTTGGAGTTCAGTCATGCAGGGTAGAAAATATGATGTGAACTATGGAATAGATGTTGAGACACTTCAAGACAATTCCTGCAGCCTCATATACCTAGCATAGTTCTATCCCTCACACATGAATCATATGATGAAGTATGAAACAGAAATTTGAACTTGAACAAGGGTTTGCGCATGCTCCGCAGGAGGAAAAATCTAAGGTATATACCGATGAGGCGATCTCAACCTGGCTGGGCTGATATGAAATATCTAAAAATGCTCAACCAGTATAAGTGAGTCTTGGCTCTGCCTAGCTGCTATACTCGCAGAATGCAAGAACGTTCGACCCTAAAGGGGACTGCTACTGAACACAGAACCAGATGAAAGAAAGACCCTTGAAGTGTGATGGATGTGCGAAAGCACAAGAAGAAAAGCGAAGTGAGCGCGAAGCGCAAGAGAGCACACTAAGGTAAGCGCGAGCGTGGGAACGTGAGCGCTAAGGCGCACGTTGTGTGGAGAATACCGGATAAGGAAACGGATAAGGAAGCAGATGTGCAAAGCGAGTGCAAATGCAGAGCGAGTGTTTATAACGAGCGCGGATAAAGGTCTAGTATAGGCGGATAACGATAACCATTGGAAACACAAAGTGCGCCCAAGTGGTGACTACTACTTTAAAGTAAAACCCAATAGCGAGGGAAGTACAGCAAAGGGGAGTAAATAAATGATGAGTAGTAAGTCAGCAACTTTATACTATGGAAATCGCATCGGAAGCGGAAGGGATAGGAGCAATAAGCGCTATGAATACGTAATGACATGTAATAACGCTGCAATGCTTGTTACAAACCATGAGGCAAGGGATATGACGTACCAATGAGGTGGGTGGACATAGACGGACGTTCCTGGATGATAGGCGATGCAGGGCGCTTAAGCGCGAGAAAGCGCGCAAGGTGCGTATGTGGGAATGCTGCGCGTTGTGCGGGAAAGTACCGTGCCTATGGCGCGTTTCACGGGAAAGCTGCGTGTTATGTGTAAAACGACTAGGGACATGATAGAAGTCGAATATAGCTGATGGTGCGAGTCATGCATTGAAGGCCAATTGTCATGAGTTGTGAAAAGGTGCGAAATGTGCCTATATGTACCTGCAGAAACGCGAGTCTCTACACCGAGATATGACACAAAAACATGCTACACAGTAGTAAAATCTAAGGCATGGGACCAAACATCTGATCTAAGGCTGCCAATGCAGCATCACAGTCAAACTGTGGGATAGATAAATCTGAAGATGCCATGTCTGAGTCTCTGGGAACATAGAAACCAAGATTTGGTGTGTTTGAAGCATTAGAAAAATTAGCCATATCAAAAGGCTGCAGTAAGGTAGAGAGATTGTTAGCAGTGGTGAGTGGCAGCTGCTGGTGTGCAAGATTGGTGGTCTTGCCCTTCAGTCAGCATGGGAGAAGATTGATTAGAGCAAGCCACTGTTAGTGCAGGAGATTGGTGAACAAGCTCAATATCTTGGTCTTCAGCCAGCGAGGGAGAGGGATGGTTGAGTGTGAGCAGCTGCTGGTGTGGGAGATTGGCGAACAGGTTCATCTTCTTCATCATCTTCTTCATCCTCAACAGTCTCAGAATTTTTGTACTTTTTGCAGTGACTTGGGTTTGTGGCACCTGCAAGCCCTTTGCGTTTTGTTCCTTTGTGAGAACAAGTTCATTGATGGTGATCAATGATCTCGCCTGTGTCAAGCTGCTCCTGGCATTTCAAATGAAGTTCCTCGAACTCCTCATCAGTTAAGACCTTCCATTTTATTTTTTTGATTCCCACTTTGAGCAAAGCATCTCGAGGCCAGATTGTGCACTTGAGACTTGGCTAAGGTTAGCAAATGGTATGTTGTCTGGCCAGCCTTCAATGGCGACTTTATAGCACTGAACAACATTACGAAAATAATGAGTCCGTTGCATCTTGGCGTCAGGATCACCAGTGATATGTTCTGTCAACATGTATCAGTCAAACACTTTGCCTTTGAACACAAAAGACTGACATAATTCAGTATTGACAATGTTGCGGATTTTTGAGCGAATTGTGGAGACTTCCTCCTTGTGATTCATAGGCAGCACCTGAATATAATAAGTCAGTAGGCCAAAAAAAAAAGGCAAATATTCAAACCTTTCATCCCTTGCACTGCAAAACCTTCCATCTTGCTAATTAGATCTTGATTTTTGATCCCCATGACAGAACCCATGAAGTTGTTGGACACCTTCAGTGGCAAAGGTGACACCTCGCAGAGGGAGATCTGTAGAGCCATGCATCATATACCTAATAGTCTCTGTGCCTGTGCGATATTTGAGGCTATGGAGCTATAATAGTAGGGTGGACTAGATCAGTAAGCTTGTAAGTTAAATGAATGGAGGCGCACCTCGTTTTGAACAGCCTTCAGAGTTTGAGAAATGTCGTTTACCTTGGACTTCATTGAGACACAAAGGCCAGTAACCTTTGTCTTTTTCCAATCGGCATACTCTGCAAGGATATTGTCTTGTTCATCCATTGAAGTCGAAGGTATTCATCCTGATGTTCCTGGACGAGTGATTTGAGTGCTCCTCGACCCTGATTGCCTGCAACAAAATGTGTCAGAATGTGTGTGTAATGAGTGAAACAAGCTTACAGTTCTCAGTCTCTTGGTTTTTCTTCCAGCAGAACATGTTCCATGCATTCAGCTTGGAACACCTCGAGTGAAGCAAACCATGACCAATATACAAGTCATTTGGCACACGGCATACACTTTTGTAATGAGACGTGGCAATGGTCTTTGTGGCCTGGTCAAGCTGGTTCTAGGCATCATCAAGAGCATCCTTGAATTGGTGAGACTTTTCCTGTCAGCTTTGCCTAAGTGCGGCTTGTGCTTCTTTGCTTAAAACAACCTTGGGACGAGTATGAATTGGCATTTGAGCATGCCGACCTGCAGAGACATTCTTGACAACATTGAATGAATGAGAGACCATGGTTTTCTGCAAGGGCATCAGTGCTATAGTTCACATGGAAGTCAAGATATTTAACACACCATGAACCGAAAACAAAAATTGTCCAGGCAACAACAGATCTCGTCAGATTCAGAGTACATGGACATATATATTCAGACTGACATAAACAGATTCCAAAATCTACATGAATAATAACCCAAAGAAGTAAAGCACACATACAAAGACTAGAATTCCGAGAACCTTAAGAGTAACTGTCAATACGGAAGATGAACGATACTATCACCAAAAGAGTTAGTGCAGGTTGGATAATTTAAAGTAGTATGAAAACACACTCACCTTGATGACCTCCAGTTGGACTTGAAGGTCGGTGAGCAGAGCCTTCAACAGGATAGTAGCCTGTTCATAAGTAAGGTCCTATTTTGGCGACCTAAACACTACCTCCCATCAGCTGCTGTGGGTAGTTCCAATTAAGACATGCAAATTGAGCAAAATTTCTCTCCCAGACCCAGCCGATCAAGCGGCGGCATCAGTATTCACTCCAATACTGATGAGTGGTGGGCCAAACTTGGGCCTGCTGAGTTCCTGACCCTAAAAAAAGTGGGTCCCATATTGTTGTCTTCAGGGACAAATGCATCTGCAAGTCGACATTGACGAATCCGATGGGAATGTGCTGTGGTCTTTTGCTGTGCTGTTAGCCAATTCCACTCCCTCATGAATGGCCGCAGATGGGATGTCAGTTGGCAGGATCTTTGACTGAGCTTTAACTTGCAAGCTGTTGGAAAAAGCTTGTGGTGATTGCACAGAACACTGGATACAGGCTCCAGTGGCAACCATGGGTGCAGGGAGGTACTGTGGACCGTAAGCATTGATGTGTGCAGTAGGAACTTTAGAAACTATGTTAGCAGTGAGATTAGTATATACGAAAATTGATTGACTTACAGCACTTAGGTGGCTTGATGTTTTCAATAGCACAGCACTTGGAAAAGCATTGAAGATGAGGTAGTGTAAATTCTGCAGCAAAGGCCTGCACTAAGGCAGCAACATCTCTGCTGATGTGCTGTGGTGTTTCTTGAAGTTTGCGGGGTGTGATGTAGAGGTCAAGAGCAAGTTCCTGAGGCAAGATTGTTGAAGACACTTCAGAGCCTGGGCATCGAATGAGGAGAGAGATTCCGCCATCAATGCGGTCTTGTGTGGCTACCTGAATAATATATGAGATTTTAGAAAGATATCTGAAAGTCTAAACTTACTGCATCAAACAGATCCTGGAGCGCAGCCTCAACTAGTTCAATGTGAGTGAGAGTCCTCTCTTTACCATTGGTCTCATTATTGAAGGCAACGTATGCCAGGTGAAGGCCAGCAGGTTTCCTTGTGTGGTAATGAGTGCCATCAATGTGCGCATTGTGCCTAAGCAATGCCCTTGCGGCCGCTTGACGCTCGTTGTTGCTGAAACCCTGTGCAAATGTCAACATATGAAGAGCAGCTAGGCTAGGTATTGTGAAATGACCAGGTCCTGGTATTAGTCCAAGCATCTCCGAGGTTCGTGATGATGTCTGTGTGCAGACAGTACTAGTTGGTAGCTTTTTTCGTCCTGGGGGGAGTAATAGCCATGATGATGTTGAAAACAGACTGCTGTAGTTTGAACGTAAAAGTGAAAGGCACCAGTGAAGGCTATTTAGCAATACATGATAGTGGGACCCACAGAGCCTGACCAGTGACAAGTTCAGTTCTCTTGGACATTGTACCGACGCACTAGGTGCATATTAGACAGAAATCAGAAGAAGCTTTAAAATACTGTGATCTAGAATCCCACAGAGACAGTAATGATCAAACCAATGATTTAAATATGTGAATAGGAGTGTTCACCTACCATCAGAAAGGTTTTGGTGAACATCCGGATGTGTTGACACGCCAAACTATGACGAGTCCTCACAAGCCCAGTGGCCATGCCATGCATAATCACTCATACGACTATTCTCAGGCATACAGCAAGAAGCCATCCATGTCATGTATTCATCCTCTCTTCATCAATCACTCATGGAAAATGTACATGACAGCTCTCCACCATGACAGTCTTCCGCCCACCTTTCATTTGTAGTATGATCAACTTGTTTCTCAATTTCACACATCTTGCATCTACACTCTTATTCTACACATTATCAGGCAGTCAGCACGGTAGATGTATCACCCTACCATTGGAAAGGTTTTAGTGAACATTGATGTGTCAACAGTGGCCATGTATCAGGCATACAGTGAGAAGCCATCCGTGTCGCATATCCATTCTTCCTCTCTTCATCAATCACCCACCGAAAATGTTCATGATGCTTCACTGTGACAGTCTTCCGCCCACCTTTCGTCTGTATCATCTCATTTCTATTATGAATAGGAGTGTTCACCCTACTCTCAGAAAGGTTTTAGTGAACATTGATGTCTTGCAGCGCCCCTACCATCAGAAAGGTTTTAGTGAACATTGATGTATCCACAGCGGCTCACCCTACCATCAGAAAGGTTTTTAATGAACATTGATGTGCGACACCGGCCACCCTACCATTGGAAAGGTTTTAGTGAACATCAATGTGTGGCCACCGGCTCACCCTACCATCGGAAAAGTTTTAGTGAACATTGATGTGTCGACAGCAGCTCACCCTACCATCAGGAAGGTTAGTCTCACTGTTCTGAAGTGTATTATTATTAGAACCATCATCAAATATGTACATAGCAGATTACAGTAGAAAGTGAGATGAATGTTAATCATTAATGGATTGCAGATAGTCAGCCATGTCCTGCGTCAACGAATCATTCTCTTCCCATTCAACAGCATCCAGGTCAATATCAGAAACGATGATATCATGCACATCATCAATGATGTCTCGTTGCACTGTGATATAATTAGTTCAAAACACGTAGATTGATGCAAAGTGTGCCAGTATGAGCAGAATCTGCATCATTATTGCTAGATGATGTGGATTGACTAAGGCGGATACCAACACCCCTGATTCCTGAAAATCCAGGAAAGTTTCTCAATGTGATCTAAGTGAAAAGAATGAACAGCATTAATGGCCATGCGCGGACACCATTGGCATTGAAGCTCATTCCCCAATTGCAGGTTCAAAACAAGAAGATCCTGTATAACCACAGGCATGGAGCTCCTCATCATGAATTGCAGTATGCAGGCGGTGAACTTCGACATTGAGCCAAGTGATTTCTTTGTGGGCTCGACAAAGCTTGAAATATTTTGTGGTCACCTCTCGATGAGCAGGTGTCACCCAGTCACTATTTCTAATATCAGTGCGAGAATTGTGCAGAAGATCAAATTCACCAAGGAAACTGTAGTCAGCAATATCTTTCCAAGATATCTTCTGCCGTGGTGGATTTAAAGTGAATGCTTGTACATTGTAGTGGTTGATCGCATTTTGAATAGCTTCTGATCATCGTTGTAGCGCTTTGCTGATTTGTTGACGTCGCTTGTACCCTAAAAAATGTTAGGTCACCAATTTGTGATCAACAATAAACAAGCACCTGTGCCGGACAATGACAACTTCGAAAGCTCAAATAACCCTACTGACAACCAGGTGCTCCAGGTCATCTAGCACACTGCAATACTTGCTGAGAGATACCTCCTCCTTGAAATGGTTATATTCCTGGCCGCCAATCTCCCATCGTCCATCAACAGCTAAGAGAATTTCTACATGGACAACCAGCACTTCAGCATGCTGTAATTTAGCATATGAAGAATCCACCCGAATGTGAGCTTGTGCAAGTGCAGTATTTATCTGCTCCAAGTTACCAGCAGTAATTGTGGTGTGACAACTATATTTCCGCTAGGCTCGTATGAAGCCACTATGTGAATTCCAACCATACCCCACATTGTGTGACTCATCCCTAGCCATCCCCGACACAACCTGATGGGCGGACCCGCTCATATACTCTGCAGACTCATCCTACCTATGTCCAGTCCAGTCACGCTTTACCCCACTAGGTGCGTAGTTGTCTATTTTCTTATTACTGATAGTATAGGCAGCGCTATTACATGGATTCTCACTGGCTGCAGCACCTCATGTGCTTTTACATATTTAACTCGGGTCCGACCATGCGCTACTATTTTCGCCTTCAGTATTCCTGGACTTACACATAGATAGTTAAATAGGACTTCATAGGAGATCATACAATACCACTCTGTAGAAGGGAGCATTCCCTGATACTGGTCACCCTACCTAGTCCCTATCCCCTCAACTGCTGAATATACCTGATTTTCTCTCCTTACGATCTGAACCTCAGTCACTCATTTCCTAAACATTCCTTTAAGTTCCAATCCTAATCCCGCGCATTTCCTTACTCCTCCATTGCTTTCCTGTCCTCCCCGATCCCTGAAACATCGGACTCGACAGATCCTACAGTGGACTTCGCCTTACACCTTCAGACTCGTACTTTCCACTCTTGGGTTTCATTCCTTGTGTAGCACTGACTTATTTCAACTTAACTAGACAGCAGACCCCTTTAGGGTCGAACACTCTTGCTTGCAAGTGAAGCAGCTAGGCAGAGCCAAGACCACATATACTGGCTAAGTACTTTACAAGTGCCTAGCCATGTTGTGATTTTCACAGCGGTAAGAGAATTATTAGCAGCTTGGCGCACTAAGTCCCAATCAGCCCTAATGATTTAATGTCAGGGCGATATATTAACAAAATAGTCAACTATTACCTCCATTCAGCAAGCTCATCAAGCACCTCAACATACCAAATAGAGAGGCGATCTTTTTCAGGTGGCTGCTTCAAACCTTCAAGGTAACCATGTTCTTCCTTGAGGAAATGAGGGAAGTCAGTATCAGCAAGGCCAAGTTCAGATTGAATGATGGCTAGTTCGGCTGTGAGCACGCTGATTTGTTTCATTGCTTCTCAATAATGATTCAACAGAAAATTAGCTGACAAAATATTAGCTTCATAGTTGATTATGGAAAAATTACGCACAAAGCACAGCATACTTGTCAGCATCCCAAAATGTAAAGTGTTCTTTGATAGTCTGATGCCAGTGGAATGAGCTTGCATGTCTAGTGCCACAAGCAAGCTCATTTGAGGCAGAAAATATGTACTCACACCCTTCACCCTTGCTGTGTCCAGTACCCGGAATATACATTGGATGCCAGACCAGCTGACATTTGCGGTTATGTGCGTGTCCATGGAATGCACCAACCATCATTTGAAAATTTAATTCTGACGCTTGTGGGCCTAAGGAGCTATTCCTTAAGGTCTTGGAGAACGCGCAGCCAATGTCATAAGCACAGGCACCATTCTTTCCGTAAACTGTAATAAGCTTATCGATAAGTGCAAGGGGATATTTAGCCCTGTAAAATTGAATCAGTGCCAAATTAACTAACAGCAAGAGTGAATCACAATTCTCCGCTGAAGGATCTTCAACTCAGCTGAGGGTGCAGCTGATATAATTGTTGAAGGGAGGAAAATATGAGTGCGATATGTTCGTCCCTTAGGGGAAGCGGAGAAAGCAAATATCCACTGGTCAACTCTAGGGGGAATGCGCAAAGCGCGTGATAAGGCGAAAGCGCGGGAACAAAGGCGCTATAGGCGCGCGAAGCGCGGGAAAGTCGCGCGTCGAAAAGCGGAACTGGGTGAAAGCGGTATGCGAGCGATAGTGAGATGTTAAGACGTGTACTGAGATGCTGATGAGACAACTGATGCGGATATGGCCACTAGAGCTAACTGCTACTAGGGCTTGTGATGATTTATTCAAAACATAATAAAAACTCGGAGATGGTGACTGTCTATGATGATGGTGGTCCCTGGTAATGTGTGTTGTGTAAAGTAAAAAAATGTGTAATGAAAAATGTGTACCAAGTGAAAATAAACATGGTACGATGTTGAAATAAATGATAAATGGAGAAATGCATACCTGGGAACTTGGTTGGACATGGGAAAACACAGTGGGAAGTCAGGCGCCCTATAGCGCTTAGGCGCGGGAAAATTCGCCTAAAGCGCGCGCAAGTCGCGCAAGTGTCGCCTATGTCGCGGAAGTGTCGCCTAAGTCGCGCGCATCGCGCGAACGTCGCGTTTATCGCGCAAGTGTCGTGTTACATGCATGATACTGTAGACTCGACCTATGTTGCAATATATGCCATTGTGAGGCTACTCAGGATCGAGTCTCTACACCGCTTTGGATGATGTCACAGGCCAGAAGTATGAAACGATGACAGCAGGCAGCAATAAAAATGCCTGATTCATGGAAGACCAAGAACATCTTCTTGTGTGTCTCGGGTCCAGCATTTCGCCAGCGACTAATGCAAGTGAGCGAGCCCAAGTTACAATCAACGGGTTCATTTTCCCAATCATCAGGACTTGAGTCCTGTATAACATCATCAGTCAATGATAATGTCAGAAAAAAGACTTACTTCTTGAGCTTTAACTTCGCCCTTAAATTGGTCCACAGTGGTGGGTCCAATCCAGTAGTCTGAATGTGCCTTGCAAGAATCTGTGTGTGCAGTTGTACCATATATGGTGGAGTCCCAGTGTTTCAAGCTATTGTTGCCATCTATCAAGATGAGCCAGTCAAATTCAAGTGCAGGCTCATCCTGGAGCTTATAGAAGCATGCTGGACAGGAATTGAGTAATCGCCAATTAGGCATGTTGTGCTTCAAGGCTGCCTGGAGATGCTTATCAACACAGTGAATGATTTCAAGGTATATGTCATATGCAGCTGAAAATTGGATGCACAGGTATGGCCAATAAGGAATCTATTAGATGCCCATGAGATAATTCACCAGATGAGGTATGTACTTACGTCGTGCAGAAAACATAGAGCTTTGCATTGAGCTTGGATGCTGAAACGAGGACATGTTCGATGAATTTGTGTAAGGATTGTACATCCTCTATGCGCCGACCAAGCTTCAAAACAAGACGCTCGAACCATGCGGTCAAAGTCATCCATGTGACTTACTGATGTGAAGAGCACAACTCTTTGCATCCGAGTTACTTGGATACATTCTCTTACTTCTCCTTTCGTTCTCTTTCATTACTCTACCTTGTGCTCACTATTCACAATCTCCTTGTCTCACTGAAGTATTTTCACCTCACCATATGCTCCTTGCTCTCATTCCAGCCTAGTCAAGTATTCAAAAATGTATATATACTCCTCATGTACACTCATACCTACAGCGAATCCTAGAGTCAGATCCCTGCTCCAAGTACAACCAAAAACCCTCTCAGAAAGTCTCCATTTGAAATGTTTCCGATTCATCTCTCTCTCACTTCTCCTTGTCTTATTCTCGCACCGTTTTGTTCCCAATTCCCTATTGAACTCATACTCAGCCTTACATTTGGCGGTAGGCAGCAAGAGTGCATAAGGATATTGCAACTGTGGGATACATTGGCATACACCCGACGTAGCCATGATAGATCAGGGTCTCATTATGGTACTTATGAGACATCAATGATTGAGGCAATGAGCAGCTTCTCTCTGAAAATAAATTAGCCTTAATAAAAGCGTGAAGTCCAGTATACATACAAAAAATATCAACAAGCTCGATGTTACTCAGTGAGACGCACTGAGTGTTGCTCGAAGATGGTGCCACAGGTGGTCCATTGAATATTGGCATACTGTTCTCAGCAGAGTGAGAACGATAGTTGAGATAAGCCTCCACAAGGATGTCTACTTGAATATCCCACTGAGTTGTTTGATTTTCTATCTGGTCATGGCATGTGTGGTGATCTGTATAGTGGCTATGATTTTGGGTGAGACTGAGCAAAGGTGGATAGGCAAATAATACTCACCAGCTGCTGATCTCAGTGATTTGGCTTGCAAGACCTTCAAAAGCTTCATGTTCTCCACCCGCATGGCTGAACTCCAAGCCCTCCTCCCCAGGGGGTGCTGTGTGTAGGAGCATCTCGGAAACGCCATAGTCTGTGATCATATTCTCTACCATATCGCGATCCTCTGTTGACATTTCTAAAAAAAAACTGTTAAGACTACCTTGAAAACTCAGAAGAGGACCACTAACCTTGAATTTCAGCCTGATGTGGTGCTCAAGCTCGGGCTAGCCTCGCAGAACCCCATTTCGCTATAGGAGTCAAGCAGCCTAGATATCCCCATTGCACCCATACACCACTTCCTTGCAAAGTCTCGACTCACTCGACTCACCTGTGTCACACCAGTCTATGTCCGACTCGGCCGATACGGATCCGTGGCCTCGGTCTCTCGCAGAAGAGCCAGGGTTATCTTAACCGTCCCTTGCTCGTTGGATCGGCCATCATTCACCTCGGCCGACCGTTCCGTCCCATTGGTACCAAATCCTCCCATGTCCTACCCATGTCCACCTATCTCCATTGGTGCATTTTAAGCTCATTTTACTGTTACTGAACAAACAGCAGGCGTTATTACATGTATTCCCATGGCCACAGCACTCGCGAGCCTTATTACATGTATTCCCATGGCCGCAGCACTCGCGAACCTTATTACATATCGACCCGAGTACCTCGCGTTTCGCTACTACTCTCACCTGTGCAATTCCGGATGTTCACGCAGTTAGATAAATAGGACTCAAGTTCATATTATCCCTTACTTCCCTTCCTCGGACATACCTGGTACCGTTGTAGGAGTCACCTTAGTTAGTCCTCGATTGTGCAAATCGATCCTCCTTGCTTTTTATCATCGGACGCGCCTAGACCGCTCTAAGTGCACTCTATCTAAGGTTTCTTTACCTAGGCCTTGTAAGATCTGGACCGCTACCGGTAGTCTTACATCGGCAACCCATACCTAGTCTTACCTCGTCATACCTAGTTATACCTGGACTCTCTTTCCTCGGCCTAGACTTACGTGCCGCTCATCGGCATCAGACTCCCCACCTCGCCTCGGTATCTCGCATCGGCATCTCACATCGGTATCTCGCGCCGGGTGTACCATCGGTATCCCATATCGCGTCGGACATTTTCGGACTTGGACCTTCGGTCGGTCGGATATCTCAGGCCATAGAGCTTAGTTCTTCCTTTCTCTTCCCTCGCACTATTCGAAGGAAGTGCTTCAATAGCAGTCCCCTTGGGTCGAAGTACTGCACTCGCACCCATTTGGATTTAGTAAGTTAGTTGGTATATCTAGCTGATTACTATTTCTTTCACCACACCGATGCATAGCATCTGCGTCAGCTACATGCTGAGACTGCTTGCCAGCCATGAGGATATGTGTTTGGCAACAACACCCTCTGAATGAATGGGATATGACCAATTTTGAGAGGCCATTGAACCTGGTACAGCCTGTTCCACAAGGCATGGTGTACTGACACTGTTCTGGCCACTGTAGGCGACGCTATAAAGGTAAGGAGCAAGGGGCATGAGAATGCCCCTTGCTCAAACAGGGCCTTGTTGAAAACAGGCCTGAAACGGAAGCTGCTGGAATGAAAAGAAAGACAAGACACCTTTGAGGCTGAGAGAACTGGTGCCATGGGACATGATGTATTGGCACTGTCCTGGTTGCTGTAGGCAGCGCATGCTGTGGAGGTAAGGAGTAAGGGGCATGAGAACGCCCCTTACTCGAACAGGGCCTAATTGAGAATGGGCCTGGAATGGAAACTGCTGGAATGGCGGGAATGGCGCTATAGAGGGCGCTAGCTACCCAGATTAGTCTGTTTGGTGGTCACATACCTCACCAAGTATATTTAGCGACTGTGGTAATACAGTACTAGAGGTAAAAGATGATTTAGGGCAATGTTTAATGCTGGTGTCGGGATTTAACTGCAGGCAAGCCTAATTATACTAGATGGTCACGCAGGTTTGTGTGTCTCATGGGTTCGTGTTTTTACTCTAGCACACGCAATTCTACACAGAATCCTCCTGTATGTTACATATGGGTTCTCCCAAGCATAATACACATTGTCATATTTTTTTTGTGAAAAAAATCCAAGTGGTTCTTGTGCCAGGGCTCAGTTTATGGTGCTGGAGGCTAGTTTTACACATAGAATGCACACTCCAGCAAGCATATCATCACAGAAAATTCTGAAATGGTACATCGTGAATGTATATGATTAGGCCATGTTAAAATAAATATCTCCGAGACTACTTTCTTGATAGAATGATGTGCGGTACAAGAAATACGATCAGACGTGACAATCCATCCAAAGTGTGATATAGGAATTGAGATTCTGCTGTGCCAAAATGCGGCACTAAACACATGCGTCATTTTTGGAGTCTTAGCGCTGAAGACCTGGATGGTCAAACCTAAACAGCTGTGCCAGGCCCAAGAAGACAAAATCAAGAAGGCCTGCACAAAGCTTCAGGGAGATCAGCAAGCCGGCAACAAACCGAACATCAAGAGAACTGCAGCTTACTATGGTGTTCCCGAGAGCACTCTTCATGATCGCTTTCGTGGTGCTCGCAAGTCTCTTAGTGATGCTCACAAGCACCAGCAGCTGCTCTCAGAGCACAAAGAGCGAGTGCTTGTGGATTGGATCAAGCACCTTGATGCTGCAGGCAACCCAATCAGTAAACAGACCATCAAACAGAAGTGTTACGCACTCTGCAAGAAGATGCCATCAAGGGCCTCCTGAATGTATTGCACTAATTCAAGCACACCTTGATGGTCACCCCCAGTTGAAGGACAATATGAAATTTGCTGGTCTTTATGGTCGGGCCCCTCGCGGACAGAAGCGCACGCATGCGCACACAAGCACAAATGACGAGAATGTAGCACCGGCAAGTGCCACTGTTGCGCAACCTGAGCATCCTGCAGTTCATCGTCAACTGAACGAGCATCACCCATTTACTCTGAGTTCCCAACACAATTTACATATACCTGGTACACATTATCATACTCTTCATCCTTATTCTTATGCTGATCATCAACCTGCAGCCACCTCAACAACTACACCTACCTTATAATTCACGCTAGCCCTCGAGATTAAGTACCTGTCATCATACCTTACTTTCATATAGTCAACTGTAACATACTTGCATATCTTCCCGTACATTTCACATACTATCATTCTGTCTAATTTTACAAGATATCATTGTGCATCTCAAGCTCACTTGCTGGTGTATACGTGCGGAGCGTGAAATGGTTCGACGGCAGGGTGTGACATAGTGTGACAAAAACGCGAACCCTTGAGACAATCAGACAGTAAGCCTCCGCTGGACTCAACTCTTCAAATCTCGAGAAAAAAAACTAGCAGGCATTGTATTTCCGACATCAGGCTATCCAACGGTAAAAGAATTTTCGATTTTGGCCCAGACGTTGAGGAGCTATTGTCATTGCAAAAAAAAAAACGCGAACTCTGGTGACCATCTAGTAGTTGACACAGCACGTGTGTACCAAGTCTAACAAGGCTTACTAATTGGGATAGCCAGGTGTGAAAATGTAACATAGTGTCACAGTCGGGTCACCGCAAAAGTCACACCACGTGATCAAGCGAGGTATGACTGTCTATCTTACAGTCGGTGTCGGGGATATAGCCTACTATGACATTTTAATATGTTCATCAGTTCACTGATGTACATCGATCTGTTCCCAATCCCCTTCAAACTCACTATCAGCCTAACATGTGCTTTCGGCAACTGTCCAAGACCCTCCTCAACTGGGCGTTGGCTCTGCCAGTTATCATTCTTGTGGACTCTGTGTTCTGAAATTTATGCCAATCCACGTTTATGAGCTCCTCAAAGATGTAAGCATGTGCCCTTGAAGAGAGATAGTTCTTGCAAATGGCCTCGAGTTGCGGTTCATCGATGGTTTGCAATTCGGAAATAAATACTTGCTCCATGATGAGAATCAAGTCTAAAGTTGACAAGTCATATCAATTTAAAAGGCGATGGTTATACCAGGAATTCAACGTACCTGCGACGAGCTGTACACATCGACATACTTTCCGCTGCCTCAATGTCATCTTTTTGACTTCGGGATGGGATAGAGAACCGTCATTTCCTATTGTTTCTGGGTGATCCTCGATGCAGTTTTGGAATATCCGCATGATCTATAGATTTCCAAAGAAGAAGAAAATCAGAATTCCCAAGTGACCGGATATCAAGAGACATGAACATACAGTCAGTACATGCCACTTAGAGCCCCACACTTCTATGAGCAACCGTCGGAAGAGGGGAGATGGGACCTGCAGCTCTTTCTCATAGATTTCATCTGTGAGTTGGAATTAGCTTGGATTTCCGTTTATGGCGCGTTCACATACATGGAAGTCCGTAACTGAATACCCGCTATTAGTGCTTTCATCTACGTTGATAACTTGAATTAAAAACGCACTGCACGGACGAAGAAATCTTAGGGGAAACTTCCGCCATTTGAGCTTTTGCGAACAAAGCTCTAAGGCGTTGGCGAGGATTATCCTTAGCCATCGACTTATCCGTCACTGTGAGTGCTTCCATGGTTGCTTCGATCAGGCTACCTAACCGACTGGCCTTCGGAGTTGAGTCGTGCACTAGGTTGATCATCGCTGAAGATGTACGCTGAAAGCGAGAGTAATCAGACTTACAATGGGATAGTTCCACAACAGATTTGGGAGGGTGTGGCATCTGCATAAGTACATTCTTGTAGTGCTCCTCGAACTTCTGCGATGCAAGTAACTTTGCACGTTCTTCGAGGACTTGGAAGGGTTGACCGGACCCTTCGTTTGAGTCCAGGTCGGAGTCCGTCGCAGCCTCGTCGTCATATATGTCTTCTGCTTCTTCACACTCCATGATATTTTGCAGCTGATCTTGCACGAACAAGTCATATTTAGTGAAGATAGCGATAACAGGGACTAATTTGAACGATGAATAACTTTCTTAGGTATCTGGGAACGGAAAGCTTGCCGTTGTGCTCCGACGAGAAAAACAAATTCTCAGACTCTTGAACAGGCCTCGAGTTTGTTTGAAGGCAGTACCTGATGATATCTGGTCTCCTGATATTCGCCGAGATAGTGGGAGAAAACCATACCAGATCATATGCAACTGCTCGTGGAGCATCTTTTTGCGTGATCGGGATTCAATGAACCTCTTGACAACCTGGAACTCCCGTTTACGTCCAGCTTCGAAGCCCTCCGAGTCATGAACGACCATGCGTCTGTTCTCCTTAAATTCCATCTCTTTGTGGATATCGTGGATACCTCGCTATTCGGTCATTTTAGCTGATCCTAACTTTCTGCAGCCGATGTTGAATCAACGTCTTACGGATTCACTGGGTTTATCAGCCTGGGATACACCTTAGGAGGGCAGGCGGTAGGGATATTAAGGAGCTTACCACGTTCTCACCGCATACCTAGATGAAGTGTTCAGTATAGACGAACCGTACTGGCTACGCCTCTTACCTTGCTGAGGATCGTGGTCTTTCCACAACCGGTCTTACCTATGATCAACAACCTGAACTTCTCCTCATCAACTAACGAAACCCGGTCCATAATCTCCCTCAGCTGGTTGCATGCCGTCTTGGTTGTCATCACCCGCTCTGAATCATGTCCCGGCAGTAGATGCGACTTATCCCATCTGATTTTGACGACAGCCTGCCGAGTAGAGGCGAAAATCGGCGAAGAAGTAAATCCTTCGATGAAATCTCCAAGAGAAACCTCATCTTGGATGTTCTGAAGGAAGACGTGCTCCATTATGGAAGTCATGTCTTTACAAAATTCCGTTCAATGCGAGAATTGGGGGAACAAGTGTCACCTACTTGCGACCAGCTGCGCGCATCGAGAGCCCTTAATTTCCAGCAGTTTCAATTGCCTGATTTCCGGAAGGGAACATTGTGGGTGTCCAATGGTCATTGGGTCATCTTCAATGGACTCCTTGAACATCGAAAAGATCTACGATAACCGCCATACGAGTGAGGGCCGAATCAGCTTTCTGAGACAGTATGATGAAAGATTATGTACGGACTGTCTTGACTGGTAAGGATGGACCCCAGATCTCTCTGAACCTCTGTCTGAGGCGACGATTTGATGATGGCATTAGTTCATACTTCTCGCCGACAATGGCTATCAATAAGATATGTCAAGAATGAATTTAGGCAAGGTAACGAAGATTAGTACTGACTTGGAAATCCAGATCTGCGTAAAGACGACTATTAGTTACTGAACACATTCAAACGAGAGCCGACACCTACGACAGCGACAAATGGCGTTTGGGTCTAACATCTGCCATTTGCGCGGCTATAAAAAGGGTTTCCACACGACGGCGGGGATCGTCTTTCGGTACCTCGCCTATGACTCTAAGACACTCCAAAGTTGCCGCAACCAACCCAGAGAACCGGCTGTCTTTCGGATCTGACTTGTGGGCTGTCGTGGAGGTCAGGGTTCGTGAAGGGACACGTAACACGGCGAATTGTACTTACGCTCAGACAGCGCGACAACTTCTTTGGGAGGGTACTGCATTATCATCAATTTGTGTTTGTATTGAGTGCCAAACCTCTCCATAGCTCTTGACATAGCTTGTTCTTCAGGGTCTTCTTCTTCGGTCTCTTCTTCGTCAGCCTGAGGGACATCGCTTTCGCTGTCGCTAATTTTCTGCAGTTCTATTCTCACGAACTCATCCAAGCCAGTGAAGATGACCACGACAGGCACTGTCCATCATCCATATATATCAAAAGAAAATTTCGACAGGTGAGCTTACATTCATGTGGGACAGAAAAGAACGCCTGTGCTTCCATTAGTTCCCCTTGGTCTGCCGCGAGAAAGTACCTGGAATGAGAGTTGGAGGCTCGTATATGGCAAGTATTGTTCAGGTTGACCGTACCATATCACATGAACATGTTCAGCTACAGACTGATGCTGAGATCGGGATGCTATAAATGAATTGATATCATCTTGAATGTTTGGATGACCCGGTTGCACGTCATGGACGACGAGCAGGCCATTGCCAGTGAATGTTATCTCCTCGTCGATGCTCGTGCTCGGTATCTGTGAGGATGTTACATCTTCTGTGATTGCACAGTGAATAATTTGCCTTACAGTCCTGACAACTGCAATATCATCTTGTGGGTCCGTGGGTCCAACCTTGCGCCCAGAGCGATCAAAAGTTATTTCCTGACCACATATCTATATTATGTAGGCAATTCGGAAGTGTTATCAATGCCCAGACACGATTCTCACCTTGCTTAGGACGACGTCCTTTCCAGATCCAGGCCTGCCAACGCACAATATCCGGAATCTTTCCCTTTCCGTGGATATACTTCTGTCTACGATTTCTGTCAGCTGGGGGACAACGAGGTCCATGAAGATTTTTGGGCCTGTTGTCTTCACTCTACGAGTTTGCGCACGTTCATTCCAGCTGATGTTGATGGTTTCATTTTGAATGAAGGAAAAAGATGGAGAACCAGTAAATCCTTCGAGAAAGTCCTCGAGAAGGCTACTGTCTTTGATCTTGGACATGAAGATATACTCCATGACCAGTGTTAGACCTACAAGGGAGGGGAAATTTTTCAGTATACCATTCAAACAGACCGGTGCGGTGCCAAGTGATGGTACCTGCAACTAGCTGTGCACATCGCGCAGCCTGCCATTTTATGGGATTCAGGTACCGACTTTCGGGTAGGCCGATGGCACTTGTTAACGGGGATTCTTCAACATGTAGCTTGAACAGCGATAGAATCTGAACCAGAGCATCGTGGGACATTTTGGCGGAAGTTAGCATTCCAAAATCCAGCCTTGTCGAATAGTAGCTACGAACCGTCTCCACCGGCCAAGGGATGTCCCAAATCTGAATGACCCTCAGTTTCTGTGACAATGTTGGTGGGAATTCTGCTTCGTTCTCCAAGATTACAGCTGTGGATAAAATGAGCATATATAGTCAAAATTGATGCGGAACCACCGACCTGGGAGACCATACCTAAATAACAATGACCGTTAGCCGGGCGTACCACTGTGTAACGAACACATACGATAATGACAGGTGTCGTTTAGGTCGAACATCTGCCATTTGAGCGGCAACGAAAAGGTTTTCCAACTGACGGCGTGGATCATCTCTCGGGATTTTATCACCAACTCTAAGCAATTCAATAGTTGCTTGGATCAATTCAGTCAACTGACTATCCTTTGGTGTGGATTTCCGCGCTATCTTGGATTTTCAATTCTGTAGAAGTATAGGAAACATCAGCAATCTACACGTACGCTCGATCACCATCACGAGGGCTTCAGGAGGGTACGCAGTCTGCTTCAATGCAGCAGCATGCGCAGATTTAATGCGCAGGGCGTCCTCCGGAATCATTTCGAAGGGTAGACAGATGATTGCCACCACCGGCACTGTAACACCCACATTCACTCAGTAAAATGCACAATTTATCTGACCAACGTGAACATGCCTTCGTGTCGCACAGCGAAGAATGGCAGCTCAGTAATTTTGGTTTTCCCCTGAGAGCTCCAGTATGTACCTATAATGACCATCGATCATCAGGTTCGTGGCTCCTGGTAATGTGAAGCATTTACCATATTGCATGCAGCTGCTTCTTTAGGTCTTCTCCTCTGCGAGACGCCATAAATTGTGTGATGACACAAGTTCCTTTTGACCCTCCGGCTCGTCCGCGTCATGAACTACTAGAAAGCCATTATCACTGGACGTTGTTTCCGCAAAAATGCGGTATTCGTTGGACTATCAGTGCAACCGTTAGATTTACCTACAATTTGAAGGTGCGAAAGGGACTGCACGATTTTAGGGACAGTGCTTAACTGGAGAATGAAGCGATGATTTAGTTCGTAATACAGAGGCTACAAAGCACGACACTTACACTTCCTTCGCCTAAAACCTAGGTATAAACCTGTTACTCACATACATACATGAGGCAGCTCGGTAGACCCTACCTTGTGGAGGATCGTAACCTTGGCATCACCAGGCTTCCCAATTATCAACAGCCTGAACCGATCTGCCGCATTGGAGGAGACACGCCTCACAAGGTCTTCCAGCTGGCGTTGGATTTGCGGCATGACAATCCGTGTCCCATCGCCCAAGCTTTGCCGATTCCTACGAGAAGACCGGTATATTTTGATTACACCCTCCTGTATGGATCTAAACGCATCCGAGCCTGTGTACTCTTTGATGAGAGCTTCCAGGACATAAGCCTTTTGGATTTTCAGCAAGAAAATCTGCGCCATGATGAATGTTAGATCTTGAATGCACGGTGAGCGATAGGACACTGGAGACAAAACGAGTCATACCAGCCACTAATTGCGCACATCTACATCCTTTGCGCTCCAAGGCGGACATAGCTGCGAGTTCTGGGCGAGGAATGGAGCCGACAGCACTATTACCAATGGTTCGCCGATCATTCTCAACATATTTTTTGAACGTAGATAAGATCTAAGGAGGCACAGACATATACACAAGGTTGGTGTAGAGTCGGGACAAAGAATTACGCACTTCTGTCACAGTAAAAGACGTACCCCAGATTTGAATAAGCCTCCGCCGAAAAGGAAGACGCGGGACCTCAAGTTCTATCTGGGAGATTGTATCTTTGACAGAAAATCAAAATGGTGAATGCTGGAGCAGCGTTGAAGACTGACCCGGAAGTCCATACCTCAAGAAGCATCAGGACTGTGCGCAAGTCAGACGAGATTCGGAATTTACTCACAAAAGCGACAGTTGGTACTTGGGATCGACATCTGCTCTCTGAGCCGCAACAAACAGGGCTTCTAAACGATGACCAGAAAGACCCCTGGCAAGTTCATCGCCACTTCTGAGCGAAGTCATCGTTGCCTGAACCACGTCCGCAAGGTAATTGCGCGCTCGAGTAGATTTACGGGCTGACGTGACCATGTTTACTTCTGAGGACTGAGCTCAATAGACGCCGCTTACAGTTGGGTATTGCGACAACCGCATCGGGAGGTAAGGTGTTTGCATCAAGACAGTTTTATACCCCGCTTCGAATTGCTGTACAACGGATTCTCTGGCTGCGTCTATGACGCTCGCAGAAAAGCTGATTCTGTGGTGAGCGCGGGTCGTAAAGTCTTACTGTCATCCGTGCACAGCGTATATATCGTCTCGTCCATCAATCGGTCAAAATCTGTGAAAACAGCTATAACGGGAACTGCACGTCGTGATTATTGTGCCTTCCTTGCAAGATTTGAGTGTGTTTACCTTGATAGGGCACCGAGAGGAACTTCTTGGCTTGCCCGAGATTAGAGGGTACACAGTACCTACGGTGATCGACAATTTTCAGCTTGTGCGTATGAATGATGAAGGAGTGTACCATATCGCATGCACAAGGCGACTCGCTATGAAAGCCTGAATCGCGCTGGATTCATGTTCGCTATCTACCCCAGAGCCCTCCCAGTTGCTGATCTCAAGCAAGGAGTTATTCTCAAATGTTGTGTCGATATTGTGCAAGTCAGTGTTCAACACCGGCTGGGATGGAATCTTGGTGAGACGCTGCCACCAGCGCCTACTATCTCACGTACTTGGATTAAGAACTGCTGTGGGAGGAAGATCAAGAGACTCTCGATCTCCCGATAACTGAGACATATTCCGTACATCAATAAATCTCGACGGAATCTTGGACGGGACGTTCACCTCGTTCAGAATCGCTGCTTTCTCAGATGTGCGATTTTCCAATCAACATTAGCCTGAATTTATCCCCTTTTTCGTACAAAGGCAAGGATTGCGAATCGGTGCTCGACTTATGGTCTTTATGGTCGCTGCTGTTGGAAAGACTGGGCGGAGCTAGCAATGCGACGGGCCTCAGTCGCCGGTGTCACAAGGGCAATCGCCTAGAATTGGGATACGAGGCGAGAGGCAGCATTTGCAATTTGGTTTAGAAAAGTTGAGGAGTGCGATTTCAGAGGTGAAAACACTTTGGAAACACAGATAAGCGCTACCCTTTGACAACTTCCAGATGAGTCCTCGGAACGGCTAATCCGGGGGTACCCGCTCGGGAAACACCGAACATGAGGGGCCGTGGATCCTGGTGGGTCCCCAACATCAGTGAATCCGACGGTGACTCCTTGATATTGTGGCTGTTGTGACTGTAGAAGAGAAATTTAATTAGGGTACCACCAGACATGTACACATGAACGGGTCTCAAAGTTGATAAAACGACAAGACAAATTGAAATAATTCTCAGACTCGGAACAGTGGGTTTTCACTGGGTTTAAAACTTTGATTACATTAAGAAGTGGCTGTGCAACTGCTGAACTTGTCATTGACCAGTATCTGATCAACATCGATCCATTAATGGGCAACGAGAAGAAGAATACAAGTAAAGCAGCTGCGAAGGCGGGAAAAAGCAAAGAGAAAGCAGAAGCCAGACTTCTAAGAAAGAAAAGAAGAAGAGCAAAAAGACGACCGATGCACCTCCAGAGGATGAAGATCTGGAGGCCATCCTCGACAAGGTGATTTTCATCACATGCGTCCGAGATCGAGCTGACCCAACGGTGCCTGCTAGTAGATGAACCGCGAATGGGAAGATGCGCATAAGGTCACAGAGGAAACTAGTCGAGGGCCCACCTTCCCGGCGCGCGAACGCGACTCTGACACCGTGCCCAAGCGGAAACCACTTGTG